TGTAGGATTACTTACCGAGTGTGCACCGTTCGACGTCGCCATTGCTTAAGCTTGTTTTCGTCGCGGAGCAGCGCACCAAACGCGGGTGCGATTTCTGATAAGTTATTTTTCTGCGAAAACTTCGTTGAACTTTGGAGACATCATTAATATAAATAATTTTTATGGCCGTCGAATAAGAAATGTTTCTTTCACAAGAAATGTATAAAATTAGTGCTGTATTAGACTACGGTACCTAATTTACATACTGTACAGACGATAGTAAACTCAACTTACTCGCCTAAACTCTCCGTAGCGTGACTTTGGACGGCGGAAATTAGTTCGGCTTCCCGATGACGTTTCACCGAATTATAGGAGTTTTTTTTACCGTGTTTGTACGGATACCGTCGCAATTTTTCGCCGTCCTATAGGAATCCGAACTATAGGAATCCGTGTTATAGGGGGTCGACTGTATATACACTAGCAGATGAGCACGGCGTTGCTCGAGCAAAAAATAATAATAGCAAAGATTAAGTTTAGGCCTATTACATTATTTCGTACTTCTAACCCTTCTATTATATTATATTGTAGTATTTTATTTATATTTACAAAGATTGTAATACGTAAGGGTTTATCACAACAAGTGACCAATCTAACAGATTTTAACAATTCTTTAAATTGTGTGCAGAAGAGGAATAAAGAATTTTTAAAATGTGTCAGATTGGTCACTTGTTGTGATAAACCCTTACGTATTACAATCTTTGTAAATATAAATAAAATACTATAATATAAAATAATAAATATTCAAACGAAAATCATATACTGTAGTTTGATTTTTTACCCTACGATTGTCACGTTTATCGCGATACTCGGATGGTAAGAAATGGCACAATTTCATTGGTCAAGAAGACAGCAATTGAAAATATGAAATCTTAAAAAATTTAAGATGTCATATTCTTTCCTAATGTTAACTCTAAGAAACTTTACCATTCACAGCCGAATATCAACGGTAATGTTCTAAGGAATCAAATTTCTCCCCCCCAAAAAAACGGGCCAAATATTTAAACTTGGCTCCCTACAAAACCTTTTAAATTATATTTTGTGCTCGCCGGTAACCTCGTATTATGTAATTTTCCCATTCGAATGCCACCATACTGTTGGTCCGATAGAAAAAACGAACTGTTGCGGAATGGGGTTGAAGTAATTCGACCAAAAGTAGTCGTTATCTCCCGGAACAGAGAATGGTCAACGACTACTAATTAATATTGGTCTACTGTTAATATTTGAAAAGTGATCCGTGTTAGACAGGTTGTGGTGCTTTGCATGTGATCGAAGTTGTTAACCTTAACGTCAGAAAGACTTCACATAACTTGCTTAAATAAAAAAACAATCGTGTCAAAATGCGAGAATAATTGCTTTTATGAGATAATAGTGTTTAAATTTTGGCAAAAAGCTGTATAAACTTCGTGGAAAGTATGTTCTTGTGAATATTGCGTTTATATAAAAATTATTGGGCTGCAATTTGAAAAAATTGTAGACCTACAAATTCGGATTGTCCTCCGCCTGATGTCTGTTGTCTGCCCTT